GGTTTTTTTTTTTTTTTTTTTTTTTGCGGTCCGAGCATCTGGGGGAGCAGTGGCTCTCTTGGATCGATGCTCGCAGCTAGCAATTGTTTTCCTCTCTCCCAGGTTCTGGGACCGAAGCCCGATCTGCCAGAAGGAGTCTCTGATGAGGACGTGAAAGCTGACGCATCCAATAGAAAGCTGGCTAAGCTGTACAAGGTAACACGAAGCAGATGGCTGCTATCAGAGGAGCCCCACAAAGGGTCGAATCACAGAACCATTCAAGTGTCAGGCTGGAAGAGAAATTGAGAGGCGCTAAGGCAGGGCCAAGTGAACTTAGACCGGGGCTACTCGATTTTGGAAGCTCCGGGGGCCACAGTGACAATCACAGCACATGCCGAGGGCCACAACTTAAGTGTGATTGCATGTACATGCAAGTATTCATGTAAATATATGCAAATAGCTTCCTTCACGCTGACGGGCATGAATACAAAGATTAAGGCAACACTACGCCACACGCAGGCCCCAAGCAAGTCAGTTCTGCTGATATTAATAAAATGCACTATTGACCCGATTCCACCCACACGACAGCACTTTGAATGAGCAATGACAGCCCAGGAATTTAACTACTAAAACGCGTCTCAACAGAAGACCGTTCTATTGACTCGCTGTTGTGGAGCGTGTTCCCAGTGGAGGCCATGTTCAAAGGATCCTACTCGTGGGCTGCATGTTGAGCCCTGCATAAGCCTAAACTGCACCGCGGACCACAAACAGGCTGCGGGCCGCATGTTGAATAGCCTTGACTTAGACCGTCCTTGACAAATATATGTCTGACTCAGGGATCCGGTTCCTTAGGGTTACCCCTTCAGGCCCCTGCCACTATATGTACCTGCATAATACATATACGAGCAATTACATCGCCTGTTGGCCGCAGATCGCTGTTCCTGGTTAACGGGAGCTGCAGGAAGTGGTGTCCTGGTGCACGCCACTTCCCGCAGCTCCCATTGGCCAAGAATGGCGATCTGCGGCCAATGGGAGCTGCAGTCGCCTGTACCTGCAGAGGCGCAAGAAAATATAGCACCTAGCGATGTGAATGTTTAACCGGTTAACCGGGGGGGTGGCCCGCCCCCCCCCCTGCCATTGGCTGGGGGCTTCTCCAGCCCAGGTGGAGCAGCCCTGACCCTCTCCCTCCACTCGCTCCTTTTCATTGGATGACCGGTTAAACGTAATGGTTAACTGGTTAACTAATTAAACAGATTTTTACCTCCCTGATAGTAGGGGGGGCCTGCCAGGGGATAACCCTGACGAACTGCCATTTTATTGCTCACCCCTGGGCGAACCTGTTGTAGCGAGGCAGAGCTGGAGCGGAGAGAGGAGCGCTGTGTCTCTCTCCCTGCATCGCTAGCTATTCGTGAAGTACGAGCGCCCTCCTCTGGCCGGTCAGGAGTGATGGAGAATCAATGAGCTTGGGACCCAGACTCTGATCTCCTCCGCTCCACCGTGCAGATGGGCTCACCAGCTCTGGGGGCTCAGCACTGTGGCTAGGCCCAGCGCGGGCAGCAGCGGGGAACACTGTCTCACTAGGGCCTGCCAGTGTCCCTCAGCCCTGCCCTGGAGGGGGATCACTTCAAGGGGCAAGAAGCGAGTTCAGTCTCCGTAGCCCATTCGATTTTTAGTTCCTCTACGGCAGGGGTGTCCAAACTTTTTTCAAAGAGGGCCAGATTTGAAGAAGTGAACATGCGTGAGGGCTGGGTCAGAGGCGGGCGGCGAGCGCAGGGTACGCCGGCCCCACGGCGACCTAGGGGCAGGGCGAACCCGCAGCCGAGCGGGGCTGCGGACGTGCCCTACAGGGCAGGCTCTAGGACCGCGGAGGCGGTGGCGGCGCGGCCGGAAGCGGCGCGCTGGGCGCGCCAGATCAAAAGAGCACCAGGGAGCCAGGAGAGGGGGAGGAAGCGGGGGCCGTATTAAATCGGAACACAGGCCGCAATTGGCCCGCGGGCCGGACTTTGGACATGCCTGCTCTACGGGGAGGTGGTTTCATAAATGGAAGGAGTTTTATGACATCAGCACTTGTTCCTTAGCAACTCCAGAGTCTGAGCCTCCCCCCCATGCCCCACCAGTGGCCTTTCCTGGGGATGGAGTCCAGGACGGTTGTGCTGAAAAGGCCCCGTTGGCTGCATTAGCACTGTTGGAGAGATGTGCCACCCTTTCTGTAGCCTCCTAAGGAAGCTGCCGTGGAGGGCGAAATTCCTGAATTCCTTGGGACAGATGCCCCTTTGTATCGCATCACCGCTGTGCCGAGAACGTCACGTTGGAAGGACAGGAGGCACGGGAGAAACCAAAGCACCCAGATTGTGAGGTCTGCCTCCCACGGCTCCAATCGCTGTGGAACGTGGAGGGGAGACTCTTCCACACAGCGCCTCTAAACCGATTCTCGTCTTTCACTGTCCCAGGTCTCCAACGGGGCAGGGACCATGGCCGTCTCTCTGGTGGCAGACGAGAATCCGTTCTCCCAGGTTGCACTGAACTCAGACGACTGCTTCATTCTGGACCATGGCTCAGATGGGAAAATCTTCATTTGGAAAGGTACCGCGGGGAGGGAGGAGAAGTAGATCCAGTTAACCGGGTGTGGGATCTAGCTTCAATCCTTGGTCCCAGCTTCCTGCACGATGGGGTGGGGAGGGAAGGCGTGGTGCCCGTCAATTGCAGTGCCTCCTGGAAGTTAACAGCATGCAAGGGCTCAGAAGGGCATCTCGTTCCTCAAGTGGAGGGAGGGTTGCTACAACGTGGGAGCCAAAGGGAAGGTCTCAGGCCGGAGACTTAGGCCAGACCTACACTAGACCCGACAGCTTGGCTTACGGTGCATGAATCCAACTAGGTAGAATACATTGCTGGCGTTGGTTTACCTTAAGCTGAGCTTGGTGACATCCGCACAGCGGGAGGCCGACGGGAACTTCCCTTACTCCTCGCAGGAATAGGAGTGCCGGCCACCAACAGGGGTGCTCTCTGAGTTCAATTTAGTGAGTCTTAACTAGACTCACTAAATCAAACTCCAGAAGATTGATCATGGCAGCAATTGAGTATAGACAAAGCTTTAGAAAAAGATGAAAAGATCCCTGGATACCGGCACAGGGATCTTTAGGTGGGGCGCCCTGGTGGCAGTGGGGGTCTGCCTGTGCAGTGAGGACACTCGTGTGGAAATGCTCCCTCCAGTAGGTATGCCAGTCTTCTCTTTCCCGCTGAATGCGCCTGATGCCAGAGCTCCAAGGGAGAGATGCTTGCTGGCAGTCTTGGAGACTCCAACGCAGAGTGTGGTTGGAGGATCCGTGGCTGTGGGGCTCCTGCCCTCTGGTGGCCTGTCAGAGCATTACAGTTGTTTGACACCTGTCCGCTGGACTGTGGCTCATGGATGACTGGGAGGATGCAGGGGGTGGGAGTTTGTGTCACTAGGCCATATGCTACAGGACTTGGCACATGCAATCCCAGAGTTCAAGGCCAGACAGGACCACCAGCATCACAAGACACCAACCCCGTCCAGCCACCTCCACCTGCAGACCAGCCACCGGAATCACACCAAAGTATATCAGCCATCAGGAAACTAAACTAGCGCGTGCCACAGCCAGGGAACAGGAGGGACCGAGGAACTCCAATGCCAGAGGACCCCCAAAATGGCAGAGAATTGATTTAATGTGCTCTCCCAGATGACCCTAATGGATACCTCGCAGATGGGTGCCGTTCTCTCTTTGCCCCGCTGCACTGCAGCTGTAGAAGGGGTTTGCTTGCGGACTGAGAGACTCGCTTTGCCCTCGGGCACGAAGGAAATCAGGGGCGATTGTTTTGTTTGTAAATCAGGGTGTGTTGTTTAACAATCCTCCACGCTGCCCTCTGTGTTCTCATTCAAGGCAAGAAGGCCAACTCCGATGAGAAGAAGGCAGCCCTGAAAACTGCCTCCGACTTCATCACCAAGATGAAGTACCCCAAACACACCCAGGTACACAGCGCTGGCTATCCCTCAGACTCTCTGGGGTGGGGGGTGGGGGACTGGATCAGATGGTCCAAAGGGCAGCAGGAGAAACAGAGAACCCACCCAGGAAGGACCCTATTGGTATTTTCTGGCATTTTCCAGCATTTTCTTCAGAGAGATCCCTCTTCCCTCAGCCCTGCCATGCGGTGGTCACCAGTGTAACATGCTCTTGAGCTCCAGGGCTTTATTGTGGTAACAGACGTTCCAGGTTGACTTGTGTTCAAAACAGGCGTGAACAGACAGATGAGCCGGGTACAAACGAGCCAGTGGTCACTTTGCTGGTGAAAACCTTCTGAGAGCCAAGCCCTAAGGGGGGTAGAACGCCACCTCCCTCCTGGAGATAGCGGAGGATTGATCGCCCAGTCTTCCCGAATGAGGCCAGTGAGACCTGTGGGCACCTCAGGCATCTGGCTGTGGGTTTGAGACTTACCAGTTCAGGGCTGCCCCTCAGTGGATGTTTTTGGCTGACTCCCCCCTTGGGACAGCTGATGAGGAGTCACTCCAGGGATTTCTCCAGCCCCAGGCTGGGTAACATCTGGGATTACTTTTGGGTGCAAACAGACAGTGTGAAAAAATCAGGACAGGAAGTTGGGGGTTATTGGCAGCTATATAAGAAAAATCCCTGAATATTGGGACTTCCGTATAAAATCAGGCCACCAAGCCCCCCTCGATTGGCTAGGACCGCCGAGGTCAGGGCTAGATTCCCCGTGACGGGCCAGCTCCCTCGTTTCAGATCCAAGTCCTGCCCGAGAGCGGCGAGACCCCCTTGTTCAAGCAGTTCTTCAAGAACTGGCGGGAGAGGGACCAGACGGAGGGGCTGGGCACGGCCTACATCTCCAGCCACATCGCCAAGGTCGAGAACGTGCCCTTCGACGCTGCTACGCTTCACAACTCCACAGCCATGGCTGCCCAGCACGGCATGGAGGACGACGGCTCTGGAAAGAAACAGGTTAGGGGGCAGGGCATGGAGAGAGCCGGGCAGCCTCGGCAGCCCTGGGGGCCAGTTCGTGTCCCTCTCGGTTCTTCCGTTGGCATGGGAGGAGGTGACGGGGACCGTGTGGGAGTACACGAGGGGCAAGTAGCGTCTCCCTCTCAGCGGGCTCCTGCGTTGGTGCCAAGAAGCCAGACGGAGGTTGTGATCAGAAGGGCTCAATGCCATGGCGTCCTCTTCTCTCTTCTGTACTATCCCAGCAGGCAGGGCTTGCTCCTTTGGAAATCTGGGACAAAGCTACATCCCAGGTTGCCCTAGGCTGGAGAAACTCTTAGGTACGACCAAGCCAGCAACCAGACTTGTCGCCCAGCCCACAAGCACTGCCCCTGCCTCAGTTACCCTTTTGGGGCATGTGGCCCAAGGCTTGGGGTTCTTAACGAAACCGGGGCAGTTTGGCCTTGGGTTTGGGTCTTTCTGGAAAGAGCTTGTGTGTCACCAGCTTGTTCTTTTCCCACCTTTCCCTAGCAGGGGGCTCTGCGGGCCCATGGCTTGGAGGAGGTGGAACATGTGAAGGAAATGGGGGGGGGAGGGGGGAGTCCCGTGTTTGATGCAACTTGCTTCGCTCTGTTCTCACATTTCACGGATTATATCCCCTCCCCCTTCCCGCTGGCGGCTTTGTAGATCTGGAGAATAGAAGGCTCCGAGAAAGTGCCCGTGAATCCATCGGCGTACGGCCAGTTCTACGGCGGGGACAGCTACATTATCCTGTATGACTACAAGCATGGAGGGAAAACGGGACAGATCATCTACACTTGGTAAGAGGGGTTCTCTGGAGAGAGGCCAAAAAGGCACATGCCCGTCCCTGTCCCTGGGCGGGGCTGGAGCTCGTTGCTGTGAGATCACCCTTGCACACCCCGCCATCCGCTGGGAATTGGCTTTCTCCCCGGAGAGGGTCCCCTTGCAGGCCAAATGCAAGTAGGGGGAAAGCTGGGGGATGTGGGGCAGGAAGGGGTCGGTGTAAAAAGGAACCGGGCACCCCGTGGTTGGGCCCTGTGGCAGTCCCCCGTGGAGCTGAGAAAGCAGCAGCCACTGCCCGGGCACACTAGCTCTTGCATGTGGCTTTCACACCCACACGAGCTGTGTAGCTGAAACCTGAAGGCAGGGGTAGGGAACCTG